GACACCAATATATTTTCTTGGTTTGAGATAACGAGATTTAAGTGTTTATGTTTAAATGTGGATAATCAACACTTATATGTTTTGTACTGTGTGTTTATTGTCCATAGAGGTCTTTTATCTTGTATTTGTCATTTTAATATGTAAATAAATAATATTGCAAGTTCAAAGTTTTAATTAAAATAAACAGAATTCATTTGGTATTTACACGTTTGGTGGTGAATTTCCAGGTACTCCCGATATATATCTATGATATTCTATGACTAATATTATGGAGTTGAATATTTTTAGCAGTAATAATTGGGAGTGCGTGTTATTTTTCTTGCATATATGGATGATAAATAATCGTTTGCCTATTTATTTTTGCAAATTCGTGCATACATTTATTAAACTTACTACCGTATATAAACTTTCAAATGGAAAATCAGCAGTTCTTTCGGCAAACAACCTCTACGTCTACGTGCAAAGAATTTTATATTTTATAGTTTTGCCAGATATGTACTCTACCAAGAGGGGAATGTTCCCTTGACCTATAAAAATGATAGACTTAGGTGTACATGTTTTTAGAATATAATTGCTGAGGCATGCCAATTGCTGATTAGTTTTAATTAACGATAGGTTTGTTTGGTGGCTTCTCTATAACTTCACTTGCAAAAACACAGACGTATAGAATTTGCAGTTTTATAAATGTGTACACTTCGTTTGGATTTCTTTGATACAGCAGTGCCTTAACATTATCGATTAGTTATTTTTCTGCCTTTGTTAGAAATGTGCATTTCCTTTGGAAAGACAATGACAAATTCACCCTTTAGGGCTTAAATGCACACACTCTAAACGTATTTTTTTTCTCTCTCCCCTTTTTTACGACGATTTGATTATCTATCAGTCAAGTGATTATTGCAATGAGTAGTTCTGCAGGTGTCGACAGATAATTTCGTGCTTCATTGTGTCTTTGTCCAAATTGTGTTTGTTTTATGGACATCCAAAACGCTTTTTATGGTGATGAAGACCAAGTTTACCTTATCGGACTCGAGGTTTTGCCTCTACAGTAATGGCGGTGTCCGGCGGTGGGATTTATTGGAGTTTAAGTAGGCACAGCCGGGAACCATTAAGAACATCTGGATTGGTCCGTAGACATTCGCCATACAGTTTATTTATGATACGGGAACAGCATACGCCAAAACCTAAGTTTTTGTATCATATTCAGTTTTGATGTGTTTTCCTTTTTTGAGGAAAAACGAATTTAAAAGAAGAATTTACACTGCATTCATTTAAAAAATCATGAGATTGAGAAGACGGTCTAATTGTGCTTTGAGCAACGGAGTAATGGGAATTCCATCGAGGAGGTATTCGGCTCTAATGGATTATCATTCATCCGGCACTTCCGGTCTAGATCGTCGAGGCTCACTTCCGGCTTCGATGTTACGTTTCACGCCTCTCTTCCGGATCGAAAGGAAAATTTCGCAGTTCGAAACTTCTCGTTATGACGTGCGTTCCCTGAAGTTTGATACTTCCATTGATAAAAATCACATTAAAAGGCTTTTATTCCTGGTGGGAATACTCTTTGTTTTTACATTTAGTGCCATATCATATTCCTTTTACAAAGTGCTGAAAAAGAAGTACAGTGTTTGAATGGTCTTTCTTTAAATAGAAGGGACCACACATGGAAGCTAAGTCGAAAATTAAACCATTCGTCTTGGATCTTAAATTGTTGAAGTTAGACTTTGATGAGAAGGAAGGGAAAACTTTTAAAATTTCCATGTTTTGAACTCTGGTCTACCCTAGTGCTATATAAGTAAATGCTGAAAATTCCTCAAACCGAAGATCTTTTCACTCAATCTACAAGAAAAAGTTGAAGAAAGAAGACAGCTGGTGTGGATTTAAAAGTAAATTAAGACACGATGATGACTTTTTGTGAATGTTTTCATTTTTTTTTCTTTGAAAATGTTTTTGTTCATTCGTAAAAATATATTGCATATCAACGAAAATGACAATTTACGCGAAAGTGACGCATTGGTCCTGATTAAAAAGCAGGCATCTTGTGTTTCATTAAAATCTCAATTTTTACTTAATCTTGTATTTTAAACAATCGTGCACATGAATGTGTACATATATTTACATGTTTTTGTGTCAAACATTTGATATGTGCCATCGCCTTCTATGTGTGTATTTTGGATTACAAAAATTATGCGCTTTGATATAGAGGCATTAAAAAATGACATTTATTAAAAAATAATTTTAAGATTTTAAAATATATTTGAATAAAAATGTTTCCAGATTTTCTTATTTATTATTATTTTTTTAATCTATAAAATATTTATTATTTCTGTTTAATATATCATCCAGATTCAACATTCATTATCAAAATCAATTTACAGTGTGTTTCTGTAAAATTACTCCAACCCCCTTTATTAAAGATACGTTTGATGATTAAAATGTACTCTAGCAATATTCATTAATTATAAGGTGAGTGGCGGATCCAAGGATCTCGGCAACGGATGTTGGGATATAAAATATATTTTCATTGAAAATACCTCTACTCGGATTTTACCCCCCCCCCCTCCCTCCTTCAACTTCATCGTGTGCGAGCAACACTCTGTCCTTAGAATCCGTTGTGAAGCAATAGACTGATAAATATTGTAAAGCATTCTCGCAATGCCAAGGGTCCTGAGTCAACACGTTGCTTGTCCAACGGCAACGAGTGGACTCGCGACCCCTGGCTTGCGAGGATGATTTTAAAGAGAGTCGAGCAAAAATCAATTCCATGCACAAAAAGAGGCAGAAAGACGTTTTGAAAACAAAGGAGTCTTAAAGAATTGCTATTATGATAATCTGTTATACAAAGAATATATATTTTATAATGTGTATCATTTTAGTCGGACTTATACAGTTGTTATATGTTCAGATGTCACATCTGTTTCTCGATCCAAAAATTAATACCTAATGGTTGTGAGACTGGAGAACTACAGTCTAATTAAATTTAGATATTTGATCTGCTTCTACTAGATCCAAGCACAAAATCAAAGTTCTACTTTTAATTAGATTGAAAGAGATCAGTATAAAATTCAAGCGAGGATCCAGGAATTTTGTCCAGGGGGGGGGGGGGTCTACCCCAGTCAAAAAAATAATTCCAACCCAAAAATATCTAAATACTGCAGTAAGCAACAAAAAATCAAAAAAAAAAAACAAAACAAAAAACAAAAAAAAAACAGACGTCTTTCACAAACGTGAAAAACCTATTTCGTGGGGTGGGTGAGGAGTAGTCGTTGACTTTTAAAGCTTCATACCTAGAACTTTTCATACCAACTTAACATAAACCTGTGTTTTCAAGGAGAGGTTTGCGTTTTTTTAAGGGAAGGTCCAAGATCACTTTTGCTTGGTTTAGTATATAGATCCCTCTAGATCCGCACATGAAATTGTCGTGTTTTGGTACTTATTTCTCAAATTAATTTCCTAAATCAGCAATCGAGTATTTTATATAAAAATTTTCTTATTAATATATTAATAATTTTCACTTTCCTTGATTCAGATGTTTTATCTTAATTAACAGCCTCAGAAACAAAAGTTTATTAAATTCTTATCACTCGACGATCGCCATTTTTACTTCAAAACAAAACCTTCTAGCATATCAACGAGACAATAAATTGACAATTCAGCAATAACATGTCTACGGCTACTTTTTTTTTTAAATTAAAAACCTGCTCTGCGTTAATTGAGGACTACGACGATATAAGGAAACCATGCATTTTGATATTGATTGTCTGAAAATGGGCATAATCCGTTTAATAGTGCCAAATCTCGCATTTTTTATTTTAATATCTTATATACAAAAGAAATCTATTCCTGGGAACCGGGGTGGGGGTGGGGGGTTACAGGTACATGTACGTACATAAATGCAAGTAAATACAAAATAGATGCAAGGGAATGGTAAATAAATAAAAAGAAAAAGAGCAGACATACATACAGAGTCATGACCATTAACTGAAAAATACTTAAGTCAACATTTAAAATTAGTATAACTAATTATAACAATTTGATAATAAAACAAAATTTGCATCATATGTTGGAATTTGAATATTATACATAACTGCAAAATTTTAAGAACACGTGTTGAATAAAACTTAAGATATTTAGAATCAAAATTTTGACTTACATGGAAGTCTGTCTTGGGGCCTGTATTTCCATAAAAATTGGGGGGGATATCACGAAACAGATTTGTTCTTTTTGCCAATAGTTTTAATATATTCGAAATAGTTTTGCTTTAGCTTCTTATATTCTCTTATATTTCTAAAAAAGCATAACATTCCGCGTTTCGTAAACAAAAGTGTCATCTAAAAATCTCATTATAACCTTGAATATGTCAGGTTTACGAAAGTGAATCAAAAGGTCTATGTTACACATTTTTGTGAAAATGCCAACATATTGAAATCAAAACATTCCCAGATTTTGCTGTTTTATGTTAAGTAAGAAATGTGCCGAAAAGGTCACAAGTTTTTTGCCATTTATGTATGAACATGGAATCAATAATGCTGATAAGTCAGATGACCTCATATTGTATACCGGGTATACATGTATGTACATATATGTGCATTTATTCTTTTGCGGTATTTCGTGGTTTTTTTAATTGAGGGAAGCTATAATTATGTCTTCCCTGCCAAGGGGTTGTACTAAAACGAACCTGTGAAAAACACTTAAACGAAGCCCTTTTTAAAGATTCATTTCTAACAAGAAGGAATTGGGATTACTCATCCATTCGAGATAAATTGAAAAAAAGTTACATCTATTAGTAAAAATCATTTTAAAATAGAAATAACAGAAAAGGGGCACCCTCCCCCCCCCCCCCTCCAAAAAAAAAAAGAAAAAAGAAAAGAAAAACAAATATATTAATTTTGAAAAAAATAATAATAAGTTTACACTTAAATGTATGTGATTAAAACTTTTTAAAAAACATTTCAACTCACGGATTTAATTTTTCCAACGAATCCGGTTTCACAATAAGTGAGCGCTGTAGAGTTTCCTGCATGTAAATGGCTGGTATTATGGCGTCGTCCACTGCAAGGGCATTTCAAGTAAGTTCAATTTATTTCAATTTATAACGATGAAATACAAAGAAAATAATCCCAGTAATTAGATAAGCGTTTTGAGGATCCCTTTTTATCAATTCACAAAAAATGTCTTGGGACAGAGAAAAGAATTAGATTCAAATATGTAGCTTGCTGGGTTGACAAATAATTTGGATGTACAACAAAAGAGCTACAGTGCTACACAACAGCAAAAATCGCAAAAAAGGTGTATATTTTTTACTGGGCTATCTCTCTTTTTATTTTTCTATATATTTAGACCAATTTCAAATCAAAATAATATGTTGGTGGTGCGACCGTTACTCGGCGTTTGAGAGCGCGAATACTTCTGTTGTTTCAATTCAGATCAGGCTTGTCAAACCGCACGTAGCATTTGGTTCGTCTAGACTATGACGTCAGATGACGTCATATGTAAGTTGCATTATCAAAAAGACACCTGAAAAGTAAAAAAGTTATTGTAGAACGTTTCGTTTACTATTTATCTTCAATATATATCCATTAAATCAAGAAGAGTGAACTTTTCGTCGAACATTTGCCAATATTCTCGAAAGAACGTAGTTTTAACAAGCAATAAATTGTGGGTTCAGAGTTACTGCGGAAAAAAAAATTGTCTTGAACAATGTGCAAAGTTCTAATTTTCTCTTATCGAAGGCATTGCTGTAAGAGCTCGCAATGACAAGTGGCACTAGCTTTTACTAATTGTGTTCCTAAGTTGGCCGAACATTCTTGTATTTCTTCCACATTGAATGAAACATTCACCAAAATCTTGATAATAACCTTCCTTTCGCAAAAAATAGGCTTTATGTTTCTCATTAAAACAATTAATTGGGGGTAACATTTGTCTTCACAGTAACCAGAACAGATAAATTTATAAAATTTGACACTTGAATGACTTTGTTTGAGGTATACAAGTCTTTTTCTTGCTTTTTAGCTCTACTGGTCAGAGACCAGAAGAGCTTATGCGATAGTAATGCGTCCGGCGTCCGTCCGTCTGTCTGTCTGTCCGTCTGTCTGTAAACAATTTTTCAAAATGCTACTCCTCCTACAGTTTTGGTCTAATTTCAATATAACTTGGCACACAAGTAGACTACACTAAGATACATAATTCTGTGTATCGGTTTTTTTATTTCGATGAACAGTGTTGCCGTGGTTACTAAAAATAGAAATTTCTGTGAAATTCTTTCAAAATGCTAATCCTCCTACAGTTTTGGTCTGATTTCAATATAACTTGGCACACAAGTAGAATACACTAAGATACATAATTCTGTGTATCGGTTTTTGATTTCGATGAACAGTGTTGCCGTGGTTACTAAAAATAGAAATTTCTGTGAAATTCTTTCAAAATGCTACTCCTCCTACAGTTTTGGTCTGATTTCAGTATAACTTGGCACACAAGTAGACTACACTAAGATACATAATTCTGTGTATCGGTTTTTGATTTCAATGAACAGTGTTGCCGTGGTTACTAAAAATAGAAATATCTGTAAAATTGTTTCAAAATGCTACTCCTCCTACAGTTTTGGTCTGATTTCAGTATAACTTGGCACACAAGTAGAATACACTAAGATACATAATTCTGTGTATCGAATTTTAATTTTAATTTTGATGAACGGTGTTGCCGTGGTTACTAAAAATAGAAATGACTGTAAAATTGTTTCAAAATGCTACTCCTCCTACAGTTTTGGTCTGATTTCAATATAACTTGGCACACAAGTAGACTACACTAAGAACATAAAGAGACTTTATCAACGATCATTATTCTATTTATTGCTGTTGTAAAATTTCAAATCCCAGCTGCTTAAGTACTTTTCTTTTCCTTTGCTAAAAGTTCAAACCAGTAGAGCTTCAGTCTCGACAGAGACTTCTGGTTAATAAAATTTTTGCTCATCATCATTCCTTTTATGAGGCGAGAATTTTCACAAATCAAAGTTTCTGATAAATTTAAATCTTGAAGCAAAGGATTGTATCAAAACTAAAAGTGCTATTAATAAAACACATACCCACGGATGAAGCATAGGTTTATCCTGCAGTATCCTCCACTTATGTGAAATGATAGTCCTATTATATGCAAAAAGTAATAAACGCTCACTATGGTCATTGTATATTCAAACTATCATTTTTTTTAACAGACAGTAAAGCCACATATTCCACTCATAAAGTTTCGTGCTGGAAAACAGACAACAGGTAAGAACATATTTTTCACCAGACTAAATGTTCTTGGAACATGAGATTCCTCAATATCAATTTATCAATATTGATCATTATAAATATTTATTTACTATCAAAGCTCTCTTAAGAATTTTTTTTATAATAGCTAACCCTGCAATACTGACCCCAGT